GAGAAAGGGGAGTAAACTAGTCCAGTCACTACAGAAGGCACTACAGTGGTTTCTCAAAAAACTAAAACTAGGTCATATAACCCAGCTCTACCACTCCTGGGTATTTACCTGAAGGATTCTAAGTCAATACACTACAGAGATACTTACACATCAACGTTTATTGCAGCACTATTCACAACGGTCAAGTTATGGAATCAACCAACATGTCCAACAACACAGAAATGGGTAAAGAAAATACATATGCAATGGAAAATTTTCAGCCATAAAGAAGAATGAAGTCATATCATTTGCAGGAAAAGGGCTACAACTAGAGGTAGTCAAATTAAAAAATAAGCTAGTCTCTGAAAGAGACTATTTTCTCTCTTTTGGTTCCTAGATTTCATGTAGATACAGAAAATAATGTACACATAGATGACATGAAAGGAGAAATGAAGCTGTCTGGGGATCAAGGGGCCTAACAGGAGGGGGAAGGGGGAGAAAATGAGGGTATGGTACGAGAGCAATACACTCAATGTATACTATATATGTGGATGAAAAGTAAAACAATAATTTAAAAGTATCATTTCATCTGTCAAATTAGTTTTACACATGACCATATTTTATATAGAATGTTAGTTTTATATGTTTGACCTTTCTCATTTGTTATATTTCTTGCTCATGTGTTCAATTTGACATTTATTTTTAACTGTTTTAAACAGATTTGTTCTGGAGTCCGTATGTGGTGGAGGCAAGGAACTTCACACTGCTTCCTCTTCTTGGTGTCATTTTTACATGCAAGCTTCTGCTTGGTTGACCTTAATCTGAAGGAATTCTGTGAAATCTGGGTTTAAAGTACATTCCTCTACAAAGAATTTGTTTCCCATCAGGTGATCCAGAGCTTACAATTTTATATAAATAATGTGAATCTGAGTCTACATGCAAAGATATTTAAATGTAACACACACACACACACACACACACACACACACACACACACTTACTTAAATGTTGCCTCAACTTCTCAGGAGATGTTTTTCCCATTTTATTCAAAGTCAAGGTTGGATGGATGTCTCTGAAAAGTTTCAAAAGCATTATCTCTTCAGCTTACTCCTTGAGTTTAAAACTAAGTCATTCATCATTGAATTAATGTATTTTCAGGAATAATAATTTGTTTAGTTTTATAATCATTATTCATATCTGTCAACTAGTTTTCAATGTACATCAAGTCATTTTGTGACTTCTCACAAAAAAGTTAATTTTGCATTATTTAAAATGCATCACTTTTGCTGGGTATGGTGGTGCATACCCTCTATCTCAGCACTGGGGGGGGGGGTCAGAGGCAGGTGAATCACTGTGAGTTTGAGGCCAGCCTGAGCTACCTAGCACATTTCAGGCCAGCCAGGACACATAGTGAGACACTGTGTCAAAAAAAAGGAGGTATATTTAGAATACCCATTTACTAGCTGAGAACCAGCTCAGGGGTATGTACCTGCCTACTATGTGCAAAAGATCTAGGCTCAATCCCTGGTATTGAAAAAGAAAAGTTGCAGACAAATGGATGAAGACAAGTAAAAGCCATCTTCTTCACAAAACAAAACACTCAAAAACTAAGAGAAAACTGTTCAAGTGAAGTATTTTTGAATTCTAAATCTGTCCTTCAACAACAAAAAAAGCAGTTCTGTAGTTCACGGTCTAATGCATTCAGCAACTTAATGTCAAAAGTCTGAAGGCAGTTTGTTTCTCTAAAGTATTTTATGTTTTTTAAATGATATTTTAAATTTAACTTTATTGTTTTATTTGCAGTGCTGGGGACAGAACCCAGGGTTGTATGCATGCCAAGCAAGTGCTCTACTACTGAACTCTAGCCCTAGCCCATCTTTCTAAAATTCTTATGGAAATTCTAATTGTTTTGCCTCAAGCTATTTCTAATACATGTCATTAAAGTGTGACCTTAATCTGTAGTCAAACATTGGTGAGGCCAGGATATGTGACTTACATTATAAATAGTACTTTTAAAAGTGCCAAATGACAAACCTTTTTGTTCTCTCATGTACACAGGAATTTTAGACATTTCTTCATTATGAATCTCATTGGTAAACTTAACATAAATGAGGCAATGGTGAACCAGTCCATACTTGGGTGGAAACACTACAATTTCTCAATCTGTGAGTACTAAAATAATGGAAATATATAAGGAATGTGTGCACAGCCCTGGAAATGTTATGAATTATAGGGAATGTTCTTCTTAAGTCAGCTTATAAGTTGCTTTATTTTTCTATTAATATCATATATATATTTACTTATACCATGTATGTGATAAACAACAGAAAAGTATTTAGTAGAGGTGAGCAAGAAACAATCTATGGCTTATGTTTATTTCACTTGCTTGGTTTTTCAAGAAAAATTTCAGTATTGTAGTACTAATGAATTATTCAAAACTCATTATTGATCATGTGTCCCTATCTATTTCCTAGTCTTATTTAAAGAGCGAACACACAGGAAATGAACAATGAGAGAAAGAGGAAGAAATGAGTTCTTTCCTTCATTTTCTCCATCAAGATGAAAACACTCGGGCTTTTCCATACTTCACGTTCCAAAGTTCAGGAAGAAGAGGAGTTAGAAGTCCAATTTAATCCTGCTCCACTTATGGCAACTGCCTCAAGTTTTCTGTTATAATTAAAAGGTCATGAATCCAAATCACATACGAGACTACTGATATATAACATCATTTATAGATAATGCTCATCTTTAACTTAAAAAACTTATAGTTAATAACTTTGTGAAGAAACTCTGAGACACACAGCATAGAATAAGTAGCTGAGATTCTTTTAAAATAAAATGTACAGGTAGAACAAATCACATGAAATACTAAGGAGTTTTTAAGAAGGAAAAAGCAGAAAACAATTCAAGTGTACCCTATGTAAATATGTAACTTCTAATGAAACACAGTAAATATAACTTGGCTCATTCATTTGCACTTATGCTGCTTTTTAATAGAGATTAGTCAGTTAATGTACATAATGTAGTATTTGTTTTCAAGTATAGTAGATTCTCAACAATCACTTTGAGTCTCATGGGAAATGTTATTTGCATCATGATATAGCTGAATGAGTGAACACTGTTATTGTCAATGGTATTTAACAGAAGACATAAGGTTGGAATTAATCTGCAGCTAGCAATGTGGAAAAATAAGAAAACAGACTCCCACAATAGTATCAACATGCACTATTAAGTCAAGATTCAAAGTTAATCCAATCCACACAGATTTCTTCTAAGCTGAGAGTACACACAGGGAGGGTGTCTTTATTGAGAACCAAAGCCGTAGTAGTACGGTTCATCAGGGTGGAATCCATATGCTGTGGCAGGGCGTCCAAGGATGTTCACTGGTTTGCCAAAGCCATCCATTCCAAGGCTGAAAAGAGAAAAACAAATGATGAGCGGGTTTTCATCACACACCCACAATTCAGGTCAAGTCAGAGAGCTAGAATTTTACATCTCCATGATTCTCTAGTCTCATAAAACTGTGTATAATAAAATATTTACTTCCAAAAATCTGTGTTCAAATGTCAAAAACCTCTGTCATAGTTCTATTCCAGACAAGAATCATTGAAACAGTTTGATTTAACAAATTATGCACATAAATGGCTCTTAGGACAGAATGTGAAAAAATTACATTCAAGCAACTATCTGTAATACACTACTAGGAAATGATAAAACAGTAGCAAAGAGAGTTTTGCTATCTATTATAAGGTCTTTTTGTTATGTGGGACTGTAGATTAACCCCACTAAGGCCTTGCAAATGTATTAGCAGTGAACTCTCAACAGAACCAATTCATATCATGAGCCTGAAAGAATGAGAATCAATTCTCCAGAGTCTGCCAATTAGCCAGATTTGATCTGCAAACCCTGAATGTCAAGCAGTGTTATCTTTTTCTTTTGGAGTAAAAGCAAGACAACTATAAACTGTGGCTTAACTTATTCTATGCAAATAGAAGTCCAAGACTTGCCAAGTATAGATATAGTTAATTATTTAACATACTCTTTAGTCTATTAATCAATAGTTAAATGAAAATAGGTTCTACAAAGCATTTTTAACAATCAGAGAATTATCTAACGGTCAGGAAAATGACAAGATAGTAATTTTGCCAGGCACATGTGGCAGCTAGAACATGCTCATGCACATCTCATGCAGTGAATGCTAGTTGAGCTTGGTTTACAGCCAAAGAAAACCATTTACAACGTGGAAATGCAAGCTTTGAAACAAAAAATACACTTAAATGATTTACGATTATACCAAACAGAAAGGTAATTTTCACCAGCAAAATATCAATCTGAGTAAAAGCATATTCACATTTATACTAACTCCTGCTCACAAGATAAAAGCACACTGAAATACTTTAGTACATATGCATGAAACTATAAACAATAAATGCAAAGAATTAAGATACATATAAGTATATGTAGGACATACACTCCATGTGAATCTACCTCTTGGTGAAATGGAATTTCCAATACATGTTTCAGGTTAGTATTTGTACTAAGTGATCCTGGACAGAAAAAAAATTATTCTTCATGAAAAACTCTGTCTATAATTTATCAGTTTTAGTTGCAATTTTTAAATCTGTATGTTGATTTAAAGTGGTGAAAATAGAAACATCATTTGTGTTTTGTTTGATGGAAGGAGAGATTAAGTTTTGAGCTGAAGGAAAAATATTCTAGAGGTATCTTAAGAGAAAGTGGGGGTTGAGGGTAATCAGTATGTGTAATATCCATGCATGAACTCCTCAAAGAACAAATTTAATTTATTAGAAAAGATGCTTCACACATTAATGGCTTCAATGAACTTGTATTTATCATAAGATATACTTGTTATCAGTTTAAAATTAGAGGAAAAGTTGGCTGTTGAAAACTTCTGAAGCACTAAGACTAACAACATATTCCCACATCTAGACACTTCTCAAATATACGAGGGATGATCATAGAACTTAAGAGTTTCAACTCATTCTTTCCTCAGCTTTCTATTTGCTACACACACTCAGAAACCCCTTAGATTTTTTTTTTAGTACCTCTCATGAAGTTGTGAGCAGAAGACATAAGATGAAGCTAATTTAGTTATCATTTCCCAGTTTGGTAAGATCTTTTTCAAGATTTTAGATCACTATCTCAGAGGACTATTTGGCAATATCATTGCAATTCTAGCTAAATGATGATACTTGGAAGGGAGTCTGTCATGCTGGCATGGAATACTGGGCTCCTCAGTTACTATGGAGGTAGTGGTTGTGATATGCTGGCCTGTATCACTGTAAGGAATATCTGACTTTTGGGCGAGTAGGCCTCAGTGAGGAAGGGGACTTAACAGATTCTCAAGGGCAGAGACCATTCTATGTTCAAGCTGAGCAACTCTCCTTTTCTGGGTTTCTATGATGGACAGGCAGACTTCTGATCAGTGTTTTCCCATGTGGTTTGTCAGCTGAATAAAGACATGCCTGCTATACTTTTCTTTAAAATATTTTATTGTTTTTTATTATGTTATAAGTCTATTGCATGTATGTAGATACACCCATGTTGTGCAGTGTCCATGGAAACCAGAAGAGGCCATCAGATTCCCTGGAACTGGAGTTAAGGATGGTTGTTAGCAACCTTGTTGGTGCTGGGACCAAGACCCAGATCCTGTGCAGCAGCAATCAGTGCTCTTAATGGCTGAGCCACCTCTCCAGCCCCTAAATGTTATACTTTGCATCACATCATAGCATGTTAATCACATTGTTGATAAGAATCTATATCCCTAGATGAGTGAAAGTAAGACCCAGTTTTAAGTGTGGATGAATCTGAGTTTCTGAACCTGCAAGCCTTAGGTTTTGAGTATTCCTGTATTTAGGGTACTGTGGCAAGTTCTATGTATGCGGTCAATAGTTCATGAGAGATAATCAGTATAATTACAATGTTTAGGGCAGCATTTAACTTTTTGACACATTTGTGTATATATCAATTGAGAAAAATTTCAAGGTACAAAATTTGAAAGACTCCTAAAACAAGCTCTTTATGAATTATTCATAATGCACCATAGATTAAATGTTAAAGAATAGTTAAAATATTATGTCCAGTTTGTAGGGTATTTTGAGAGCTATAGATCCTGTTGTATTATGAAAGATATGGCCAGGAATGGGGATGTACACTTTAATCCCAGCACTTGGGAGGCAGAGGCAGGCAGATCTCAGCCTGATCAACATAGTGAGTTCCAGGCCAGTTGGGGCTACAGGGAGACCCTGTCTCAAAAAATATGGTACTTGTAAATGACTATTTTTTATTATTTTAAATTTCATTTATTATTTTTATTATATGTGTATGAGTGTATTGCCTGCATGTAGGTCAGTGCACCTATGGTGTACAGTGCCATCAGAAAAAGATGTCAGACTCCCTGGAACTGGAGTTACAGACAGCCGTTAGCCACCATGTGTGCTGGGATTTGAATCTAGGTCCTCTGCACAAGCAGTCACTGCTCTTAACTGTTGAGGCATCACTCTAGCCCTCATCTTTCAAATAAAACTCACTCTGAAACTACAGTTTGCTTCTTTAGTCTCTCTTGTTTGGGTCATTCTAATATAGTGGGGGACAGGGCTTTCCGGGATGCTAAAACTTAAGAGATACTCTTTTGGATCATGTGAACATTGATTCTACTTTCTCTCTCGAGATAAGGATGCAAGCCTTGCTAATGTGGAGTCTGGCTCAAAATTAGGAGAGTCTAACATTATGTACCACTTTAAATGGAAACAGATATTTTGGGTAAGTTCTTTGGGAAGGGTCAGAAACCACAAATACAAAAGGGCAGTGTTACAGCAAAATTGTGCTATTCCAAGACTTGACTTAGAATAAACAGTACCAGGGGCACTTGAATGCCCTTACAAGGGACCTGAGAACCAAGGTAAACTGTGCTCTGATATATGACCACATCTGCTTTTGCTGTGTATGATCACTCTGCTTTAGATAAGAGTTTGTGCACTTGGCTGCTTATATTGGTATTTAACGCCATCCTGCACATTGTGCCTCTGGATGTACAGATTTTCTTCCTGCTGCTCTGAACCTACAAAAACGCTTATAACCTTATAGACTGGCATATGCAACCACTATGCTACTTTTTCTTCAAATGACTATTTAGTGATATTAACCCTTATCCTTAGTGCTTAGGTAAACTATTGTGAACCTTCAATTTATGAAAATCCAGTATATTTGGTTGATACTAGATAATTCTAGCCTAGATAAAAAGGTTATTCTTTCTTATAAGAAGATAACCAGGAATGGAAAGGTCAACAAATTGACCTTTTGAACTTACAGAACAAATAACAAATTTGTTATTGTATTGTTCTATATCCAAGAACAATGACTTTGGGGTACCTAGAGGGGAACTGGAAACAAATCCTTTTAAAATGAAAAATCATGCTTAAAATTCAGCAATAAGCATAAAGCACATTTAGAATTTACTTTTACAAATCTAGAAATTTAACTGACACAGAGCAAACAGAAGACTGGATTCTGTCTAATATTTCTTAGACTTGAAACAAATCCTCAAACAGCATTCACTAAAATTCCACACTTGTGATGATTCAGAGGAAAATGGCAGGTGATGCTTTACATGCAACACATTCCAAGGAAGTGGCGGCCAGCCACTCTCAGGTCACTACAGTTCTGTGCCATGGGTTGACATTCCTGTAGAAAGGGAAGGAAATCACCTACCTCTCGCTGTTTGTGAGGCTTATTTAGTGCATGTTTGTAAAGCACTTTGAAATCCTTGGATGAAAAGTGCTGCATAGGTGAAAAGTATCATCATTATTTTACCAAAATTAGAAAAAAAGCAACTTGTCTCTTCTTTTAAATTCGCAAGTCAGCAATATAAATATAAGCAAGCAATAACTTGGATGTTATCAAAAGAGAAGGTATTCAATCCTATCTTTTCTTTCATAAGCTCACAGGATCTGTAATTTGGAAATATTTTTTGGAAATAATCACGTTTACAATTCCATTCACAACACCCTTGAAGGAATTCATCCAAACCTTGTCTGAACACCTCCAGCAACAGCATGCTCAGGACTGACAGGGCAGGCCATGTCTTTATGGATGCACTGCAGAAAGTTCGTCATTATGCTCATCTGAAATCCAGTCCAACTGGAAACAATTCTTCTTTGCTGTAACTGTTTCACCACCCTAGCTTATTCAGTAATCAGAACATGATCTCAAATCTGTGCTGTTCATTTATTCTATGAATTCACTTTGATTTTCATTATTTACCTTAAAAAAGCAGCTGAAACTAATATGAAACTGTGACACGATCTGAATGAGCACAGCAATCCACAGCCCCGTCACCCTGAATGTGCCCAATCACATCTGAAACAAGTGCACCATACGGCGAGACTCCATCTCTGAGTCTATAATGTAAGTCAAAATTCTCTAGTTCTTAAAATATTTTTAGGAGCCACAATCACAGAGTAGGGTAAGACTGGGTGTATTTTTATAACTGCATAGACACATAAAATGTTCATTTGTAACTAAGTTGTTGGACTTCACTTTTTTTTTTCTTTTTTGTCTTTTTGAGACAGGGTCTCCCTGTAGCTCCAGCTGGCCTGGAATTCACTATGTAGACCAGGCTGGCCTCACAGAGATCCACCTGCCTCTACCTCCCGAGTGCTGGAATTAAAGGCGTGCGCCACCACGCTTGGTGGACTTCACTTTTATAGTTTAGGCCTGTGTTCAGTTCCTATAAAAGTTTATCTATCAGACTTATAAACAGTAATAATTTTAGAAACCACTCATTCTTTGTGATTCATAACTATAAAGCCTGAAATTATTTTGGGGTTGCCAAGTAAAAGGACTTAACACAAGGCACCTCTTACTGGAGGAAACTTCCTTATTTCATAGAACTATATGAAATGATCTGTGAACTTCCTGGAATATTTCATCACTTTATCAATTACTTGAATTTGTTGATCACTGAATAAAAGCAGCATTTTAATATGCCTTTATAATTAAATTATACACTGATCACCAGAATAATTTTTGCTTAGGTATGATTTCTCATGGGATGCATAGGTCCATGTAATTACGGTTCTTTGTACAACAATCTGTCCATTCAAACAGGACAAACATTTGTTGAATTCCTACAACATATTAGGTATAGTATTTGGAGCTAGTGTATAAAGAAAAAAGACATGGTGGTGGAGGGCAACAATGACACATGGTCCTGGCTTATAAGCTTCGGAGGCAGTGAACACAGGACAACTGGTTTGTAATAGTATGATATTGTAGTACTCTGTGTGTGTGTGTGTGTGTATGAAATGAGAGTATATTAGAAACATACGATTTCTACAGCAATATCTTATAGATAAAATAATCATATTTTAGTGCATCTATCACTATTTTACTGGTATTAGGTACTTACTGGTATTGTGTATTTTGGTTATTGTCTTTCCTATAGATACTAAAACTCTTTGTATATCACACTAAGAACTATATTAACTTGGAGAATTTACAATAGTTTTAAAGAAAAACAATGATCTAATTCTGTGTTGTAGAAAGTTATCTGAGGTAGGAAAGGGGATGGGGGGACAAAAGCAGCGAAGCATTTAGAGCTACAGTGATCAGCCAAAGGTCTGTAAGAGAGGCAACACACAAATAACAATGATCAAATATGTACAATTTGCAACAAAGAATGTTATCTGTTTACACGTAATTGTGTGTGTGTGTGGGGGGGGCACACATATGCCACGACATGTAAGTGGAGGTCAGAGGACAGCTTGATGGAGTTGGTTCAGTTCTCTCCTTCCACCACATGGATCCCAGGGATTTGAATGTAGGCTGTTAGGCTTTGAAAGCAAGTGCCTTTACCCACTGAGCCACCTTGCTGGGCCTATCTTTTCTCTTTTGAAATGAATTTTTAGTTAAAACTTTACTAGATGAGAACTTAGAACTGAGGAGAGAATTTAAAAACTGGCTGAATTTTTAAATGGCTACATATAATAAGCATGAAACAATCCTTGCCCCTTTGGTATAAAAAAAAGGCTTCATGAAATAACTCAAAATTGTGGTATTTCATGTATATGAAACCAAGTAGTTTATTCACAAAGCTAGTTACAGTTTAACAGGAAGAAAATGTCATGTTCTTGAAGTTATTGTTGTAGGGAGAGAATACAGGTCAAGGAATAATAGCATATGCAGAGGTCATAAATAGAATCTACATGTAAGTTGCAGACTAACCACTAGATGGCAAGCTTGTCCTATCACTGAGTATTTACAGCACACAACTAAATTTTAAAGACAGGCTTAGCAAATTTAAATTCTGTACATTTAACATTAATAGAACTAGTTTGCATTGCTTCCTCAGAAAATCAGTGTCTTTATTTTATAGGTGTGAAATAATCTGGTTTGCACAAAATAGGAATACCTATCAGTTATATGCAAAAATCTTTTGTGAATGTGGGGGCTTAGAAAACAGGTTAGAAGGAAAGATGCTATTTTTAATGAACACTGAAAAAAATATAACCTGCATAATAAAGTACTATATTTTATAGCACAATTTTAAAATTTTCCACTGTACTGATACTATGGCATCTTGACTTTGTAAGTTTACCGGTAATAAACATTTTAGTTTTCTCAAAGGTATAACTTATTGCTTTGAAATTGAATCACTGTATTATTGAGAAAATAAAATCCAAGAGCATAATGAAACAGTCTTTTAGGGAGTTTCACACTCATACACATATATACAAATGAAGTTTAGTAATTTTACATTTATTTTATTCTAACTGTGCTATATGCATAATTATATTTTTTTTCTTTACTGATAAAATAACCAAAGCATTATGAGTTATATTTTGAGGGGGTTTTTCTTTACTTTTCCTTTTTAAATTTATGTGTCTGCATGTACGTGTGTGCCTGTGCCCACAGAGACCAGAGGAGGGCACTGATTCCCTGGAGCTACAGTTATTGGCAGTTCTGAGCTGGTTGGCATGGGTGCTAGTATCTAAATTTGGGTCCTCTGCAAGAGTAGCAAGTACTCTTAACTGCTGAGCCATCTATCCAGTCTTATAAATAACATTTTTTAATGATATCAAACAGCAGTTTTTTCAAAAACAAAGAGCAAATTTCATGAGTATTAGGAAGCTTTATTTAAAGTACACCACTGATGGCTCAGTGGTTAAGAACACTGGTTGTTCTTCCAGAAGACCTGGGTTCAAAGCCCAGCACCCGCACAGCAGCTAACAACTGTCCATAACTCCAGTCCCAGAGGATCCAACAGCCTCTTCTGACCTCCACGGGCATTGCACGACACAGGTGCACTTACCTACATGCAGGCAATACATGCATACACATAAAATAAAAGCAATAAATAAAATTTTAAAGTACTTATCTGGGGTTCACTAAAATTTCTTTTTAGGAAAGAAATCAGTTCTAAGGGGGAAAAAAACCCCCACCATCCTGGGGACAGATTCTTTCAACCTAGTGACTATGCTGATGCTTCAGATAAAAACTAATTTGTACTAATGATGGAAGAGCATGTGGAAAACTCACTAATTTTTTCCAAATGGAAACCAAATTCCACTTCACTGACTCCCCTCTAATCTCACGTACATTTCTCTTCTTACACATCTGAATCTGTTGTCTAATTCACTTCCAGAGTCTGTACAAATGATTATACTTTAGAGATGTTAGAGATGCTATTTCCTGTGCTACCACCATTTCATTTTTCCACTAAAACTAGATTTTGTACTCGTAAGTCTGTTTCCTAGGTACAAAAAAATCTTACTGCTGAATCTGACAATTTTCATTCATGATGGCCTTTTTGTGCTTAACTTTTTAATTGTGTATTGAAGTCCAAGTTTTTGTTCTGTTTCATTTCCCATCTGCTGTCCCCTGAGCTTTTGATGTATTTCTATAGAGGGGTTCAGTATTTTGCATAATGTATTTGAGAGTTTTGCTGTGATGAAACAGTCTGACTGGTCATTTCATGACTTGAGGTTCCTTGAACTGGGTGCACAATAAATTCAGAACCTACTCACATGCATAGAACAAGCTTGTGATTTCTCTTCATAGTTGTCCTCTCTTATCCTGGTTCTCAGTGTGCGAGATGAGTTTTAACCATTTTTTTCTGGGCTAGTGAAATGAAAACATCTAATTCCCTTTCAGTTGATGATAAAAGGCAGGTCTTTGAAGTTCCAGGCTTTCCATAGGTAATTCATTTCCACCTGCCTATGCCACATAATGTATACCTTACCACTCCTGTGAGGGGCTAGTTTACTTTTCGGTAGTTGGGATGCCCCCTATCTTCCTTATGAGTCTGGCCATATAGACTTTGCTTCATTTCCCACAATTTCTATGCATCTGTATGGGAGAGGCTTTCCCAAGCTGGCTCAGTCTCCATCTCATGGAAACCCTTTCCATTACTGCTTCATCTGCTCTGCACATTTAAGGAAAACATTTATAAACCTTGCATTCTTCTGACTTAAAACTGGTTCTCTTGAAGAGAACGATAGTTTGAAAGAAATAACTGGAGCTCTTAAATGGTATTCTAGTTTATTAACTTGCAGCATAGGTGTCTAATACAAGTTGTCAAATATGATTATCAAGCTGAAGTGAATATTTACTTAAACCTGCAACAGTGTCAGGATTTTTTACAGCAATCTTTTAATTAAGATATGCCATACAGTCTTCTTTAGTTTCCATGTCTTCAATTAATAAACATAAGGACTTCTTGAAATTGGCATAGTCTATAATATCAAGCAGCATCTCATTTCCCACCACCAAATGTTAAGGGAACTTACTGAGTGGCTTAAATAACCTCCGGGTCAATAAACTGAGTCATTAGCACCTATTTTAAATAATTGTTTGTCTGTTACTGGTCCAGCATTTATATAACCTGGCATAATACAATTTTAAGGAACAAAAATTACTGCTATGAGCTTAAAGTAGAGAATATAATTTAAATAGCAATGTTTTCTCAGTGATAGTTTAACCATACTTTCTGGAACTGAATGAGTTAAATCCAGAACACCACAACTAATTACTATGTAATGCTAACCTTAGTTGCTGGTTCATTCTGAGACTCTTTAAAATATGAACTGTGTATTTTACCCCTATGCACTCTCTTAATGATTTGTTTTTTTAGACTGAAATCACTTCCAGCCATCAGTTATACTCTTGGTCCCTACATATGCACTTTTCCAAGCACAAATATTTCTTTTTCCTATTGGTCTGCCAGCCCTGTCAGAGCAAATTTCACTTTAAACTAAATGCTATGATACTTAAAACCTCTTGGATTACTCGGGCTGCTAGTGTGATCTATGACCTTCCAAGAATGACAGCTGAACTTTCCAATTTGCTTATACTGCTTGGGGAGCTAGAAAGCACATGCCAGAAAGGAAAATGTTTCTGATGTTGAA